TGTGAGGTGAAATAAGCAAGCAGTAAAAATGAAAGTGAAACCTTTTGGACATAATACTCCACAAGAATTTGTATCTTTTAGCTTAAGGTTTATCATGCTATTCTTTCCCTGGAGAAGAAAACCTATAATGGCAGAAGGCTGTAAGAGAAATCCAGTTTGGGAATGTTTTAATGAAATTCCAGTACTTATGGGTAAATCAAGCATGCATGCAAATTATGTAGAAAACTATGATTTAATTCTAATATTACTGACAAGTGATTTTACTCCTGATTTAATCTGTGATTTAAATTGATTTGATTTAAATCGTATCTGCCCTTCTTTTGAGCCATGCTTGGGGATTCAAATGTTTAAAAATGCCCAGAAAGCATATGTGAGAAAATATTTTAAGAGGCTTTCTGCTGGTTTTATTCTGTAAATGCATGTTCCTCTCACCCCAACCCTTAGAGGAAAACAAAGAATTAGAAAATTATCTGCAGCCCTGTAAACTACAATGGATCTGTGTGTTGATCTGTGTGTGGCCACTCAATACTTATACTGCACGGGTTACAGATCGGTGTTTCCTAGTCTATTGGAAATACAGTGGCTCAAGCTGAATAATATATGTGAGACATTTGATATTTCTCATGAAGTAGGCTTTGCGATTCTTATACTGAATGCAAACTGTAGTGGCACAACTGCAGCACTGGGGCTGCCACAATCAATATTTATCCTTGCTGGTGTGACTGTTTTGATGTAAAGCACAAGCAGTTGTTGCAGTTATTATTAGTGATGTTTCTGTGCAAAAACTGAGAAATGTTACTGGAAATGTAGGCGGCTATTCTAGCACGCTCCCCGCCCCCCACTCCCTCTCCCTCGTGAAAACCTGTTGAAAGACAACCGTGATTAGAGTTAACAAGCGTTATCGAGTCCAAGGACTTTACATATCCAACTGAGATTTTTTTCTTTTACTGCTTAGTGCCTTCCTGCTCCAGATAGCCAGTTGGTTGTACTGGCACACTTAACACTGCACAGAAGGGAAGATGAATACCCATTTCACATGCTTTAAATAGCTCTGGCAGCAGTCCTCCGCACTCTTACTTGAAAGTCCATTCTTTTGAATTCAGAACTTAGTTCTGAAACTATGCATAGCTTCAGACCATCATGTTGTAGTGCTTTGCACTTTTATGCCCTAGAAGCTTCTATTTTTATAAACTTGAAGGTATATTTTGAAGTTTAGGACATTGCCAGTTTGGCATTGTGCTACATACTTGTCACATTGCATATGCAGTAGAATATGTGGGAACAAATCCCATTGGAATTGGTGGAGCTTACTTTTGAATAAGTACATGTGGATTGCACTGCAATGATGTGGTCCTCCTTGTAACTTCAAAAACAGAAGAAAGGATATTTTCAGGTGCCTGAAGTATTCAATCCCTATGCATTTTGGTCATTTCTTTCCTCTGGGGCTGCTTATCTTTGTGTTTATTTTGAAAATTCTTACTGAAATGTCCTTCATTTGAAAGTGAGACTATCCCCCCACCTCCAAATACATTTGTCCCTTTCCCTCTTGTTGGCTTTTTGACTTGCTTCTAAAGAAACATGCTTAGGTTTAGGATGCTATATTGGTATTATCAAAGAAGAGGAGAAAATGGAACTATGAGGGAGAATAATGTGTTGTTATTGGCTAAGATCTGAAATAGATAGCAACTGATAAAAGGGTATACATATACTTAGAGCTAAGAACAAAGACTGTTGTACAATAGTTGTACAGTTGTGTGAAATGAAAAGATGTGTGAAAGCCGGGGAAAGACAAGAGAGAACCTTGGGTGTATTTACAGAGTTTGAGGTAGTTTTACAAAAAGGATGCTTGCATTGTCATACATAGTTGCATAGAACTATTTGTTACTGAGAATAGTTTATTGATAAGGCATGTTTCCTTTCCTATCTTAAATGCTTAAAAAGCCTGGTTACATAAATCGCTGTCCTACTTTAATGAAATAAGCTTTAAGCCACTGTCAGTTCAAATTGTGCAGAGAAAGGACTCAGCAAAGTGGTTTCAGTGATCAAAGTAAGAGGAAATGCATAGGCTGCTATCTAGAACAGAGTTATTTGTACTTAAGCTCAATGATTTCATTGTTGGATTGAGGCCATGGGGTGCAGTAAAGTGTAAAGTCCCTTTGATCTCATAAAGAGCTATTTTGAGTATGATATGCATATCAAAATATTTAATGTACAGTATCAAATATACAGAATATAGATCATTGTAAATGTACATCAAAACAAACAAAAATGAGGGCAATAATGACCAATGGGGACTCTTGAAAATTCATAGGGAAAAACTGAGGGCTTTGAATTGCATTTCCTCCTACTCCAATTATTTGATTCGGGTATAGGGCCAGTTCCCTTCATTCTCCAAATAATTCTTTGAGTGTAACTAGTCTTGGAAGGTGTACATCCACATTCAGTAACAAAAGGATTTCTGTTGTTTGTCTGGTGCTAGGGAATAAAAGTATCTCGAAAAGGCTAGTGCTGTATCCTGGGAATTCTTAGAACATGGGGACATCTTCTTCAGAGTTCACCAGCCAATATTTCCCTGTATTAGCAGAAGCCCTCCAAATTCCAGAATGATAGCCTGTGTCCTGCTCTTTATTGCCAGGGATGTTCCATGGAGGCGTGCAACTATTATTAGGAAGCGGATTTGAGGGCTTGTTCCAACCAACATTCTTCTGCATGTTCAGGGGCCTTTAGCATGGATGGAGAACTAAAACACACTTTTGGAACTTCCCGTTTTTCCAATCTTAGTGTTGATATGTATCGATTATTATACTTGTTGTCTCAAAGTTCTAATGAATCAAGTAGGGGCTTTCATTGCTTTCAAAGGTGCCTTCAAGTTATAGTAATTGCAGTGTACATTGAGTCTACACTGCGCATGTCTTGATACAAATTGTGACCAGAAGATGTGCTATTAAAAAGCTAGTTCTTGCAATCCATTTAGATATCCTTGCTTGCATTTGACAGCTTGGACTTACATCTGTCAAAATACTAATTTTCCTGTGTAAAGCTTAATATCAGTGTTTGTTACAAAACCTTCCCTCCCCCCACACACACATATTCTATGTTTATAAGAATAAAGGTACAGGTAACTTTAATGCAAATCAAAATATACTTAGGTCATATTGATTTTAGTGGTACTGAAATGGGCCTAACCATTGAATTCTGTTCATAAATATTACATGGCATCTTTGTTGAAAAAAGTAAAGACTTTCTAATGAGTGTGGTCATACTTTAATCTTGGTATGAGTGTCTGTTGCTGTATCATATTAAACATTTCATTTCTTTTCTTACTCTAGACTTGTTAATGAAAAACCAAGTATTTAGCACTAGTTTTCTTTGTCCATATGATGGTGACAAAAGCACTCACTATAGCAGCCCTCCTAAGCAGAAGTTTTGAACTATAGCTCCAAGATTTCTTACTACTGGTGGCCAGGGCTCATAGGAACTGAAGTCCAAAACAATGTAGCACCTCAGGTTGAGAGAGGCTGTTTTGTGTTCCAATAATTTACCAACATTTGGTCTCCTGTTGTTGCTGGATTAAAGCTCTGCTCATCTCTAGTCAGCAGAGACAATAGCTAAGGATGATGGCATTTGTCATGCAGTAACATCTAGGACCCATGGTTGGGAGCCACTGCAAAAATAATGGGGTGCCTGGTGATGATCATGGATCATCTTAAATTCATGGTCTTATGATTTAACACCTATCGGTCCATCCACTGCTGGTAGAACAGATTTGTTCCTCCTGCAGTCCCCTAATCCTGATTCAGAGGATTAAGGGACCCTTCAAAGCAGATTCAAAGGGGAAATGGGTGGCAGAACAGGCAGAAACCAGGGGAAATACCACTATGTGAATAGAAGTCCACTCACATAACATTAGATGTATCCCAGAGACAAAAGCTATGTTATGATCACTGTCATTATGACACAGATAGATGTTATGTTAAATTAATTGAAATGGTATTTGTGCCAAGCAATAAATGATTTCTGTCAATGTCCAATCCAAGAAGTAGCTGAAAACTGTAGCAGGTACAGTGGTACCTTGGTTCATGAACGCCTTGGTTCATGACCAAATTGGGTCACAAACAAAAAATTCATGAAAATTTTGACTTGGGTCACGAACTCCACATTGGGTGGCAACAAAGATCGCAGCCATCTCCCCACCCCCCGGAGTGGCTGTGAAGATGTGTGTGATTGTGGCTGTGCTTAGGAGCATGCCCACGATCACACACATGGGGTGGGGAGATGGCTGCGATCGTGCTGGTTGTGGTGGGGGGGAGATGGCCGTGATTGCTCCCGTCTTTCCTGCAGGAGAGCATCCGTGCCAGGATGTCTTTGAGAAGCACCACCCCAGCATAACTGTAACGAACAGAGTGTTGAATCTGATGAACAATAACGTGGTCTCTCATTTCCAGAGGGTTATG